ACTTTGTAGTGCAAGATTTTCCAGACAAGGAGTTGCGTAATTTGTCTCTTGCTTTTTGTGGCATAATCACATTCCAGCTTGAAATATTCAGGGTCTATGTGGAAGAGTATGAGAAGTAACAATAACTAAGGCCTATTTTTATGTACACTGAGACACATTAATATCATTTTAAGACCAACCTGAAACATCATAAACTAAACTGAAGGAACATTATATTTCACTTTTTTGAGAAACTACCCACAACAATAAGAATTTAAGCATTTAACAGTGTTCTGAATAATTTAGTATTACTCACCATCTGAATTGTTGTCCGGATGTCAAGATCTACTACATCATCCATCTGAAGTGTGCGCCCAGGATGTTTTGGGTTATCTTCTTCATAGGGTTATGTGTCTCCGTGTCCTGGACTTGATAACGTACTCCGCAGGAACTCAAGTGCACTGCATTCAACAACAAATACATTCTGCAATGTATAGTATGCATGGCCTGTGTTGAATGCATTTTGTTTTTCAATTTTACAGTAAAATTAACTTGCATTTCATTACATGCACCGGCATCTTGAATAGCGTGCCACAGGGATGACGTATTTTGTTGACCAACCTGGAAGCTACCATCACCCTGCTTCAACAAAAACCCAAAGGGATTTTAACACAGGCTTCTGGATTATTACAAAAAATAAGCTTGGTGACAAACAAAAGCTTATGACACTTGCACATTTTGTTCAGCAAGATAACTGTTCTTTATTGTGATCATGGCTGTGTCAGTTAAAATAGCCATTGTGCTGTGCACAGATGGAACAAACAAATGCACTTCAATATTTTCAGTTTATGAAGGAATTTGTAAACAGATTTTATTCACATATTTTTCTACACATGCTCAAAATGTTTTTACAAGTAGGCCTACAAATATTTTCTACACATATAAACTGCATTTACATTTACAAATCTTTTCTGCACATATTCAAAATGTTTTTATTAGCTCAAAATCTTGTGACCCTGTATTGAGCCCATAGAGAGAGAAAGAGATGGACAGAGAGAGTGAGAGACAGTATTAGTTCAGCTGCTTGTCAGGTTCTCAAGCTCACCAAGAGGTCCATAAGTACTGAATGCTTTTCTTCCTGTCACAGCATGGGGTACACAACTAACTCTGTGTGTGTATGTGCTCACAGTGTAGGTTTTCAGCTGGCACTTCTCAGCTTTGGCAGCAGCATGTCTCCTGGCACCCGTAGAAACAAATTTGTCTTTGGGTTTTGGTTCAACTTTCGCCTCCAGTGTGTGTGTTTGTGTGTGCATATATGGGTGAGGCAGTCATGAGGTCTGGTCATTTTCACCACTGCAACCAGAAAACATGTGGCCAAAGCAGCAGGGGAAAAGGTAAAGGAGGTTGCAGGAGGAGGTAAATAAGGGCTGAGCTGAGAAAAGATGCTTAGAGGCATCAAAATAATGACCACATGCTGAAAGAAAATTGAATAGATGATAGTACACACATTTTCACTGAGTCCTGAAAAATAATTTTACAAATACTACAGTTCAAACTCCCCTCATTCATTTTTCTCATTGTAGCTTGAGAATTAGATATGACAAATGTAAATCTATCCTTTATGAAAACATGAGAATACATCCACACAGTGAGCAGCAGAGCTAAGATTTTTCTAGTCTCTACTTGGAATGCTGTTTTCTCAGCTTCTCTTAGCTATAGCGTGTTGTGGTCACCAGGCCTGTGTGTGGTCCTGGTGTAGTTCAGCTGCTCAGGATCATTTCCATTAAAACATATCTGTAGTCTTCAAAGCAAACCCCCAGTGTTAGCCACACCATTGGAGGTAACACCAGAAGCATTGCCCTCTGTGTGACTGCCTCTATGTATGTATGTTGTATCCATATGTGCGTATATTAATGCATGGTGGGTCTACACACAAATGTTTGAATGTGTTTCTTTGTATTTGAGTGACTGTCATCTGTCTTCAGGCATATTATCAAAGAAGATTTCTGATGTAGTCAAGATAATGGCGAACAAACAAGGTTAGGATTGTGTGAGTACTGATGAATGTGTGTGTTTTGAACTGCAGGGCCCCTTCAGGGCATTGTGTCCCAGTGATCAGTGACTCTTCTCCCAGGAGTTCCTTCCCAACATAAAGAGCCGTGTAGATTGGGAAGGAATGTGGACTCCTCATAAAATATCTTCAGTGATGTTTCACTCACTCTCTGTGTCTTTGAGTGTGTCATTTTCAATGGATAGGGGTTACAAGTGTGAACTAGCTTGTTCATGTGAATGTACCAAGCCAAGCCTGCAAAAGATAAAATAACATTTTTTTTCAAATGTTATTCATGGATCTTAAACCTTAAACTGAAAGTTTTTTCTTGTAGCTTGATACAGTTCAAATCCTTCTTGATCCACCCCTGAAATTTAGGATTTAAGACATGCTTCCATTTCAAGACAAGAGTCTTCTGTGCTGGCCCAGGCAGGCCGTCATCATGAGGAGCACCAAATACTACAGTGAGTAGATTAGGGGTGAGTGTTATATTGTATACGTGCTCCACTGTTTGAAATATATTGGTCCATTAATTAGATACAGTACTATAGTTAGGGAAACACCCACAACAAGAGGTAGGCATTGGAACCTTTACACCTACTGTACTATATCTACTTGCATGGTTAGGGAACATTTTTGCTGGTTTTGCTTTAGTGTAATGCACACTAAATAAAATTTAGCATTGAAGGAGCCAATATTGTGCAGTTATGTTATGGAGGATGAGTGTACAAGGTCATGTATGTGTTTCCATCTATCAACAGAAAATGTTACATTAAGATTTTCTCCGACATATTCTTAACATGTGTTAAAAGGCTTGGGTCAGCTGTACTGAATGAGTTATATATGATTATATGCTTTTTGATTATACGTTCTGAAGCAGATCAAGACCCAAGAGATCATCAGGAGGAGACTCGGGGAGACAATTAGTAAAGTCAAGGAACTGTTTCTGAAAAAAAAAAAAGTCAGACCTGAAAGAAACATAATAGAGTCAAGCTATCTAGGCAGAATTGTTTCAAAAGATCTGCAAAAGATGAGAAAATTCTGTTGCTACAGAGATTGTTTACAGCTTTAAGCCCTTTGTTGAGCAAAACCTGAGGTTGGTCTGCAAAGAGGCAAATAGGTGATGTTTTTGATACTAGAGCCCTAAGGCTGGGGTATACTGAAATGTTTTCTAAATTGTGTACATATTTTGAGTGATTGAGCAACTCTGGGACTTCAACTAACATTTGATGCTTAGCAGAGACCAGAGAAGAACAAGAAGATGATCAATTCATAAGGACTCAAGAAGGGTTATCTTTATCCTACCTAAGATTCCAATAAAAAAAAATCTTATGAATGTTGCAGGCCCAATAGCATTATCAAAATTGGGGAAGGCTAGACCAGCCTGGCTTTTAGGAACTTGTAGCACAGTTTTTCCAAGCCATGCAGGTTTGACCCCCGCTCCAGGATGGAGGAAAAAACTCTGTAGAATGACGTCCATGTATCTGCTCTGGTAAGTCAAAGATTTGTACATTGTTTCTGTGGCTTATTCTCTCCAAATCTATAACTTTAGCCTTGAGTTTAGCATTGTCTTTTTATTAATAATAGTTGTCAAATAATTATTGTTTAACAATTAACACTTGTCAGACAATTATTGCTTGACAGATTAATCTCATCGCCATGTATATGTGTTGTGGGAAATCCCTAAAAGGGTGTGCATATGCATTTTATATGCTTTGTAGCATCTGCTGTTTCCCCTACCAGAGTGTGGGAATAATGGCTCACAAAAAAAAAGAAATGAGTATTTATCACTCATAGGGCCTGGAGGTGGCAACAGGGCTGCCATTGTGGCGGTTCCCCAGAAAGACGACTGCTTTCCCAAGTCTGCCTTTTGTACACACATTGGATGCACTTTCCCATAACTCATCTGGCAAACAGGAAGGAACCACAGACGGGATTGAATGTGTGTTGACCTAAAACAGCTCCAATCCCATTATGCAGTGATAAATGATCCACTAGCAAGTCAGGGAGTTTTTGGATCATAGAAAGAGGAGGAGCAGGACGAACTGGGAACGATTAGAGAGTAATACAATTCTGTTCATGGGCCACTATGATGACCACTATGATGGTGAGAATTATCTTGCTGGTGGAGGAGGTAGAAGTGTGGACTTGGTAGAACTGGCTGGATGACAGGTGGTGAATGAGAAGGAGATGGAGGATGTCCTGTTGTTGACCACCGAGACTCTGGTGTTGACATAGAGACCACGACAGAGCAGCCTCTAGTTGGCCCCAACAAGGTCTTGGGGGACATCTGTTGTTTTTTCCTTAGTGCGCTTCATTATATGTGCAAACACACACACACACATTAATCCTCTACTAGCATGTATGTGTATATGCATATGTTTGTTAGAAAATGTTAAAGGCTTGTTTCCAAAACAAATACAGATGCTGTGGTTGGCCTTTGATTCCAGTGTCATGGTCTTCATTGTCTCTCTTTGTGTGGGGGATACGCCTCTGGGACAGAGGCATACATGAATGACAGAAGAACGAAACAACAGATGCACACATGCAAATATATGCATGTGTGAGTGCACGCACAGACACACATATGCCACATCTCTGCTCATGTGGAGGCCAAAAGGCAAGGCAAACATTTCCCCACATCCAACCATTATGAGTAGAAACTGTAAAAACCATTCAAATCTGCCAGAAAAAATAGAAAGATGAGAAATGATGCTTCAGATTAAGTCTACTGTTATATTCAAAGTCTGCTTTGTTAGGAGCATTTTCAGTAATAAAACTTTCAACGACAGTATTTCATTTTAAATGTTGTTTTATTTTAAAAGTACACAAACAGGATCAATATCGCCCAATAAGGCAAAGCTCAAATATTAACAACCACTCATGTCAGAGGACTCAAAATCTCATAGTCACAGTTTACGGGTATCACTCGCAAATCATAAATAAAACT